AAGAAAGGTCGTATAAAGCTGGGAGATGTCTCATTTTAATCAGAAATGTGCGGGCTACAATAATGTGTCACTAAGAAATGGTTTTGGTTATATTTTAGCGTTTCTAGAAAACCAGATCTTCGAAGGGCTAAGGGGAACCCCCATGGTCGTATTCGTAATCACTTCGAAAGGTTCCCGCGTGAGTTCAACGATTGAAAATAAGTTTGGTATGTGCTATCGAATATGACAGAGTCATAGTCCGTAACTGATCTCAGACAAGTTATATACAAGTGACGTTTTAGTTTAGATGGTGTATGCAATAATAAGCAGTTTCTACAAGGCAAGACGGAAAATGTAGTAGTTTCACCAAGCCGTTTCCTTTATTGAAGGATAGCTGCCAAAAGAAATAGGTTGAAATATGAAATATAAACCAGTTACACTTATTAATATTTAATCAAAATAACATTTGTTGACACCATACATCAGTATTGGTTATTAATTGATCTAAGCAAGTCGTTTACAAAGAAAATAAACAACAACAGCCTTAAATTAGATCCTTGCGGGATCCCTGAAATGATGAAAACGTAATTAAATAGGATGTCACTCAACTTAACTTGTTCTATGGTCCACACAGGAGTGAAACCATTGAAATAAATTGCTGTATATCCTAGTAGCATGTAATTCATTCAAAAGTAATTGCTGGTGCACACGGTTAAATGCTCTGGCACAGTCATAACAGCTACCACCGAGTTGAACGTATTCATTCTTCAATGACGAAATATGACGTGTTATGTAAGCTAAAATCGAACTTTAATAGATATATTATATTCAAATCCAAACTGATTTTGATTAAAATATCTATCTACATCGAGATGAACTAATCTATCAAGAAAAATTTGTTTAAATATCTTGTTAACATTGGAAAGCAAAGATATTGAATGATTTCTTTCTTTCTCAATATCCCCATTTGTCCCCATCCGACAATTGCATTTCTTCATATATTCACAAATGTTTCGCTTTTAATTTCAAAAACTGAACTATCAGTTTATCCTATTTCCGGTGATTTGGAATTGTTCAAATTCATAATAGATGAAATATCGTCTGTTGCTATTTCAGGATGTACCTGATTTATAACAGGCACAGATAGATCCTCTCATGGTGGAAAACGAGCCAACAAAATGCTTATGCGTTTTCAACACTATTTACTCAATATACAGTAACCAGAACTCACAAATAAAGTTTGGCTATTTTTTAGATATGATAGAAATTAGATCCAAACATCAGCAATTTCGAAGAGTTTATTAATCAAAGCATTTTAATCACAATGGTTCAGTTTCTAAATCGTACACCAAAAATGATATTTTATTTAGATTTTCGTGAATTGCATTTGCATCGGAAAGTGCATTTGATTAAATGATCTAATAACAGATTGGAGATCAATGTATGATGAATAGATTTTCCTAAAAGATGCGAATGACAAAAAAATAGATTTGTTCAACTTTCTAAATAAAAGATGTTATTTAAGTATAGATTTTTGTTTGTAGTAGTCTTAGCCGAAGAGTACACTCTAAAAAAAGAACTAATTTTTTATATGCATCTTACCGTTTTTATATTCATCTTTATCGTTTTCTTCCATCTTACTTCAAGACAGAGGAGTGTATTTATTTTATTTTAAGATGTTTTCTCTCTGTTACGAGGTGCATCCATCTTATTTCTATAGCAGATGAAGAAAGACATCACCTCTTTTATTTGTGTTCATCACTGGATATAAGGAACGACAAATCATCAAACAAATCGTCATGTTTTTCCTCATTTCTCTTTCAGTTGAACTCAGTCATTTATTAGGTACGATTGTGGCCCCATTTATTAGGACTATACGATATGTGTATCGCCGTTTTAATGACTTCTCCCATTTTATATTCTAAGTTGTGCACTTGTACAGAATAACCAACTCCTATATACTGTAGGATATTTTTGTGACAGTGAGAGTGATCATATGCTTATTCTTCACAAGTACCCGAAGCTACTGGCATGTCCAACTGAGGATTTATTAAACAAATTCATGAACTGAAATGTGCATGCGGGTTGAGGGCATTATTACATTGATCAGATAAGTTAAAAATAAATTGCAAAAGAATGAAGTTTTTTGGCTTGAAAAATTGTAATTTTCATCTTAATGTGAGACTGGTTGTTTGCTCAAAATGAAATGTTGTTACTTCGAACTGGGAGATTTTTATCACGGATAATGTTGGTTGCTCTAAAAACGCATTATAATACTCACCTATATTTAACTGAGTACTTTGAGTGTACCTTTTTTCACCTTTGCTGTCGTGTTACTACGAACAGAACTACGATTGAACTATTCATTAAAAAACAGAGTCATTTCCTCTGAGTGAGTTTTGCTGATTATGTGGAGTATTATGACTATTCGACGTACCTATTTAGGTTAATCATGCTAAACTTTACCTACAATTAGAAATGTTTGGAAAAATTATAGATCAACAGTAAGCTCATGTATTCATGGGTTTACATGATTTACTGTCCGTCGATTAATTTCTATTTTAATTAGTTTTTCTTTATAGAAAAGTATAATTTTTGCTACAGAAGATTTACTTTCCGTTGATTACATAAAAATGTATTTCCATTAGCCACTTTCTTATATAGGAATTTACTTTTCACTGATTATTTGAATGAAAAGCAATGAATTAGCAAATGAATATTCATTGTGACAACGAATAAATTTCCAAGCGGGACAAACATTCATCAATAAGAGAACGATAAATCAAATTTTTAATTAGGAACGACCAATGTTCAATAACTCTAGATACTGTGTAATGAGAAATGCTGAGAAAGTAGAACAATAATCACGATTTTTAATGTAGTTAATTATTTGGAAACTAGAGTAGTAGTCAGCATGATAACCTTTGTAAAAATATATAGAGAGAGGTAGAGATATACAAGTCTCTTCTCACACTGTTTTTAATAATGTCTGCTGAATTTGTTGAATCTACACATGGCAAAAGACAACTATGTTACCTCGATTATCGATATTCTCACAAACGTAAAAATCATAATAATTTTTTTCTAACAATACATTGGTCGTCGCAATGAATATTCATTTGCTCATTCATTGCTTTTCGTCTAAATAATCGGTGGAAAGTAAATCCCTATACAAGAACGTGGTTAATTGGAATATATTTTTATGTAATCAATGGAAAGTAAATCCTCTGTAACAAAAAATTATACTTTTCTATGAAGAAAAACTAATTAAAATAGAAATTAACCAACGGACAGTAAATCCGCGGACAATAAATCGTGTATTCGGTATTCATGAACAAAAATTGGATGTATATTCTGAAACTTTCAGTTAAATTGTCATTTCTGTCTGTCTAGTTAAAAAAGTAAAAATAAAAAACACTCATACACACTACTCATTCATTGCTTTTGAAAAACACATGCATTAATAAACTGTCATATTTCCATCTTGTTTTCTGATCTAAAGCAGCACTCTATTAGCATATGTCACAGACAATTTCAATAATGGTCTTTTGTAAAATGTAAGTTCTTAGTTTAAAATAAAAAAATATGCTTAAAACAAAAGGATTTTTATCGTGACACAAGATATTGTATTATTGCTGTCAACATGTACTTTTTTAATGTCAACAGCTGAACAAGTAAACGTCAGATGATACTTCGAGTAATACTCCTTATATAGCCATTATTTCAATGTTATTAGTTTAGCAAAGATCTACCAGTAGTTAGTCGTTGTTTAGATCTCCCAATTTATTGTTGCTACTGTGCGATCTCATAAAAAAGTTTGCACTTTTACGGATTACAATTAAGAGCTTGGTAATTTTAAAATATTTATAGTAACAAGTCACAATTATGAATCAAAGTAGCAGCATTATTTCTGTATTTATCAGAATTATTCAACCGTTTACATTAATTTTACCTTGATAAGACATTCTGGTATTTGTCACTGAGTGTCATTCGCGTTTGTGATAACAGAAATACAGTCACCTCAGTATGCGCTAACAATCAGTCAGTCATCAATATTTTAAACTATTTAGCACTGAATAATCGTATTCAGCCCATCTAGATATTGTGGAATCCATACATTAGTATCAGGTCAACAACAGAAGAATAAAGTGTCATGTATGTTTTAGTATTTCTACTTTTTTTTGTTAATTCATAAAATGGATGTTCGTTAAAGACTAAAGTTATCTTTTAAAGTTACTACATATAAACACTTTATTAGTTCATTATTTCATGTCTATGGGTAATGTTTAAACTCTCTTGTTTCTCTTGGTAACAAAAACTATCATATTGTTCAAATTCATGAAAAAAAGTTTATTAATCAGAGAGAAATACGATTTAGTTAATAATAGTCATAATAATCTAATCAGTGCACGTTATTGAACAGTAAATATATCAATGACCATTTATACTAAACTAGGATATAAGTACAAAAAATTTAGTGGAATTATAGTTCGAAACCGTTAGAATAACAATCAAGTAACAAACTGTTCATTTTTTTCAGAGGCAATATACATGCGCAACTTCGAATGCTCAAAATCTGCCATTCAAACCTGTTTTTTAAATGTATTTGTGTTTATCGTGAAAAATATATGTAAGATTTGTTTTGCTCAAAATACACAATAGGAAGAAAGAGAAAGAGAGAGTTCAGAAATCCAACTGCTTCCAAAAAACATAATAAAATATAGTGAAGGAGAAAACAAATAAACAACGAAACAACAAAATAGTATATAACAACAAAACCGAAGAAAACAATTTTTGTCTCAAGAAGGGAAATCAGCGATAAAAAGCGTTTTTCTAGTCTCGGTTTCACTGTTTTAATAATAAGACTGCAATAGCTATATAAGAACAGATATAGAAAAAAAAGGAGAAAAATAGAAGCCAGTGACAAAAAGTAGTGCTGCTATCCACACACCTCTTCTCTGTTGTTGAATTATTCTAATCTATAATAATCGTTGTACAACAGAAATACAATGATAACGATATTAAACGGCTAAATTAATAAATGAATTATATTGAGCAACATTTCGTTTTAATATGTCTGATATTGGTCCCAATACTCGTTCAAATCGACCACGATCCATTTTGACACACTTTAATGGACCACGAGCTTTTACTGTGGCAGCACGTGGACGATCAAAAAGTAATGCAATTTCACCAAAAAAGTCTGATGGGCCTAATTTACTGACTTCGACCGGTTGTTCGTCATCTGAACGTTTTTGATAAACAACTGCTTGACCTAAAACATATATAAACATAGTATATACGATGCATTTAATGAAACAAAAGAAAAATCGTTTCTCTGCTGGAACTTACTACTACCATTCTGTTCTTTTCAAAATAAAAACAGGTCAAAATCAAGCACACACATACACACTTCTAAGGAAAAGATACCTTCAACGATAATGAAAAAGTCATTTCCAGGTTCTCCTTGTACAACTATATTCTCGCCATCGTGAAATTGAACAGATTCTAAAGCATCTGCCACTGTTAAACGTTCCCATTGATCTAGTTCTTGTAATATTTTCACTTTTGATAAAAATTCTTCATACATTTTACGTTTTTTAATTGTACTACCCATTAATATACGACGATAAGTCTAAAACAACGAAACTAGACAAAGATTATAACATTATCAATGTCATCCATTTAATCTAAGCGTTTAGATTCTTTTCAATTTTTTAACCGTATTTAAATTATACCTTTCTATCAATAGCCCATAGTTTACATTCTGTTTTAGCCTTGATTGTTGCTGCACGAGGTGTTCCATAGATTAATGCCAATTCTCCAAAACTTCCACTATCGGATATGGTTGTAACACATTTATTATTAACATAAACATCTACTTCACCTTGATCAATAATATAAAAAAAATCGCCTTCTTCACCTTGTTGAATAATGGTATCGCCTACTTTATAATTAAATGGTTGCATAGCATTAAATATATCTGATATTTCAGTATCATCTAAATGACTAAACAATAAATTCGATTGTATTGCTTTCGATAATGCTTCTCGTGTTTGATCATCTTTTGGTATTACAGTTTTAACATATGATGTTGCATCTTCTTCTTTGAATGGTTCAGCTGATACGGCACCACGACGATCACGACCCTTGACATGACTACCAGTGGGAGCAGGATCTAAATAATTGTACAACAAAATACATATGTGACTTAATCATAATTTTCTTTCCTAGATCCGATGATTTATCTCTTCAATCAAATCTTACCTAAATCTCCCAAAGTATCTGGATTTTGGCCATTTTGATGTGAGTCTGATGTCGATCTTGATGATGAAACTGCTGATGCGCCTTTTGGTCTTGTTGTTTGTTGATCAGGTGAATGAGATACTCTTGAACTACTTTGTTGTTGTTGAGAACGTGACGTATGATGTTGCATGGATAATTTTGTTGTATCTAATTTTTCAAAATAAGTAGATAAAAAACTAATAGGATTCTCAGGTTTTTTCAAACATAATTGTACAATACAGTCGCGTAATAAATTTTGTATATCGTGTTTAGCTATATAAGCTTCACAGTCACGAACAGTTCTTTCCGATGAATCGGCCATTTTTCAATGAAAATAATAAGACGAAATAAATGAACAACGATTCGTTAATTGTTAACCTAAAAAAATAGAAAATAAAAAAATTTTAAATTTGACTTATCATGTTAATTACAAAAAGAAAAATGGACCTCGTAAAAAGTATTTTGTTGTTATATCTAATACTATCTCATCTTACTATTTAGAGATTTGATATCTTTTGCTGTAAAACACGGTCAAATTTGGACATCATTTTCTTTTTCTCTATTAAACATCACTCTTATATCAATGCCTTGAGCATTTTTAAAATAAAACTCCTTTAACGCGTCTTTTCACTAGTTTCTTGTTGAATCAAATAAAATCTACAGAGAAATAATGAGAAAAAAAAATTAGTCTATGTCATCCTTGTCGAAGGTGATCCAACTATATTAACAATGATGATAGAATTAAAATTTATACGTAATAGATCAAGAGATTTTTGTAATGTAGAAAGAGAAGGGGAGGGGGGGACTATTTGAAAATTTGAAAAATCATAAATTTATTACAAACATATAGAAACCACTTTAATCTATAATATTTGAAAATGCACTAAAAAATATCAACAATCATAAAAATAAAGATAATCTGTTTTTCTCTAAAGAATTGGCTAAGTACTTAATATTCATGAAGACAGCATCATTTCGACGTATTAATACTAATTTTCGAGTTATTATTAATCTCCAATATTCTTCTAAGAAAGAAACCTTCCTCTAAAACATGATCAATCCTTATCTTTCGTTTTATTTCATTACTTGCATCATATTAAACTAGTATACTATTCGCCTTCTTTCTTATATAATGAATAGAATTCTTACATAAAACCTAACATTACAATAAAGATAGAATTATTATCTTCTTTCGGTGAATGTGCATGTTTAACAAGAGGGATTAATAATTTCTGCTTTCCGTTTATTAACATGAAGAAAACAGTGAATGAATGAAAGAACAGAAAAATAGTCAGATTTGGAATAACAACAGCAATAGTAAAAAAAAAAATTTTAAACATATACCCTCTCCTCTTCTTCGTTGATAAATTAAATGATTATTAAATTAGTTAGCGCTCTATGCTGCTGCAATAAACCATCTGTCTTATTTCTCTTACAAGTGAAGGAAAAGCTGTTTTATTCCTCATTTTTATTTAAAAAAATCCATTTTTCTCTCATAAAACAAGATGATTGACAATGACAAGTAAAGAGTCTATTTCTCTTGTTCTTTTTTTTTTTCTTCTATCATTACACATGATAAACAAAAACAAAAATGCATAGTGTAACTCGGGGTCCTTTGTACATATTACACGTAAAGAGAGGAAACATAAATTTTTAATTCTCTCTTCAAATCATCTGTTCAGACGACAATGTGCGTGTGTACAAAAATAAATAAATAATGGAATGTGCGTCTCATGAGCTTTCATTTTTCTTCTTTTCCTTTTTAATAAGATATAGTCAGGAGAAAAAAAAAAAAAGAATATAAAGATTTCCTTTTCCAAGGTCTAAAATGAGTTAGTTAGTCATTTTCTTTTTTTCTTCTCTATTCTGATACCAACTATCTACTACTTTACTTGAGTAATAAGACAATAATAATAAATAATAGAGCAATAAATGCTAGAAAATATCTATGAGTTTATTATCATACAAAGTAGAAGATAAAATAATAAAAAATAAATACACAAGTCTCTTATAAAAAAAAATGATATCTTTACATCATTTCAATCTTCCGCACTGTGTATATTGCACATTTTATTAATAGCCCTTATTATAAAAGATAATTTCTACTGCTATTTTAGATTTTTTTAATGACTTAGTATGCATGAAAACATATTTAAAGATCTATAAAAAAAAACTACATGAGATGCTTTTTCACTTCCTCCTCCGATAACTTTTTCTTAAGAAAAATAATAAAGTTTTCTCTTAATATATAGGGCTTTTCGCATACAATAGAGACTAATTTTGTTATACGCTCGCTATTCGTAATTGGAACATCGATCACTGTAATATAAAAATGGAAGAGATCGACTTTAAGAATTAAGGAAAAGTAGCTTAGAAAAAATGAAGGAAAATGATAGATGTGCATGCAATGAACAATGAGTATTACCTTTCACTTATACACTATTTATTCGAAACAAAAAATATATCGATTGTATAATGAGAGATTATACGGGTAAACTGGTTACTTTTCATGTCAAGATATGCAATGACCCATGTCGACCAGTATTACACACGCATTACACACATATTCAAAATTAGTTTAAAAGATTACACGCAAAATCAATACACGCAAAATCCACCTCTACAAAAAAAACAAAAAAAAAACAAAATAGAATACTGCATAGTCAGTGGAAAGATAATCAAAAGTATTTATTTAATGTCGTAAAATATTATTACTCTCTTATTTATTTGGTATACAATAAACCATTAACAACAGAAACATGTTTTTAACGGTTCTGTCATATTCTTAAAAAATCTATATCATCACGGATATAGAAGAAAACATGTTTTCAAACGAATTTGTTTTTTTTTTAGTAAATTTTGTTTTTCTAAAGAACTATCTCTTTTATAAAAAGAGAATTGTTTCTATTATCATCAACGTTCTCATGAACTCACCCGGAAATCAACATAAGAACTATATTTTCTATAGTGAACAATAGAAAAAATATCAATTTTGTTTTCGATAATATAATTGTTTTCTTCTCATTTATGCAAAGAATACTTAAAAATGACCTAGAATTTGTACAAAAAAATTCAATTATGTTGTTTCATATTGGAAACTCAACTGTTTAGCAGTAAAAAATTGATGTCCCATAAGAATTTTATATAATAATACAAATATCATAGTTAATCCTTCATAGTTTGCCAACACTCACAATTCTCGTCTAACACATTATATCTATTCTATTTATTACAACAAAGGACGATCTCTTATTTGCCATACGCACTGTACATCATCATTTACGTACTTCATTTCAATAGATTATGAGAAAAAGAGATCTATCGTATTCTAGTGTTCAAAAAGTCATGACATTTCATAAAAAAAAAAGGTTTACAAACGTAAATGAAGCGTAAAGGATGTGTCCAATTTCAAATAAAATTTCTTTTAGAAAAAATCAGGTGAGCAAAAATTCTTATGGTTAAAAAAACAACAGAAATAAATCGAAGAAAAATTTCTTTAGCATTAAACGTTCACTGAAGAAAGCTGTGTAATCAAAATTTAGATTATAAAAACTAATAAAAATTTATAAAGAATGACATTTATTACTTTCTATTCAACTGAACATCACAAAACTGACACACTATCAAGTGTGTAGAATTCATTTATAACAATATGTGTAAATGCCTGATAATTTCTTGCAGTAGAGTATCCCAAATGAGTTAGTTAAACTCTAAATTAGTGAACAATTATAGAATAATTTTCGAATACAATTTGAGTTAATTAGTATTTTAAAACAAAATTTTCTTCACGCTAACAACATAAAGGCACACAACTATGATTAATTGAAATATCCTCAAATACTCACATGTTTTATTTTTTCTGCTTATTGAACACTCGTCTTCTGTTATAAAAAAATCCTGAATAAAGAATATGATTTATATTTTTCTCTATTGAATAAAAAAATAGTCAAAACTAGTAAAAGAAAATTAGAGAAAAATATTAGAACTCGATATTTAGTTATTTTGTTGTTTTATTCGAATAAGAGTTTTTTCAACAAGAATAAGAAAATTGAACAAGGAAAATCTATTTACGGAATAAAGAACATAAAATAAAAATCAATGTACTGGTAAGAATTATATTCAAATTATATTTCTATTTGTAGATTGTCATGCAAAAAATATAATATTTACATCGTTTGTAGCAAAAACATGAAAAATCTTGGTTTGAGAGTTGAAATTCTCATAATGGAAGGTCGGAGGTGAATAAAGGAAAAGGAAAAGCAAAACGTCTATTACCGATAATTCTTTTACTAATAATAATATCTAGTTTATTCCGGAACCAAGGTTTAAAACAGATTTCTTACACATACCTCAATTCAATTCACGTGAATGAGCTAATTAATCGGAAGAAGAAAACTGAGTTGTCTGCTTTTACTATACTGGAGAAAAAGAGACAGAAAATAAGATCGGAAATATGAGTGTCATATATATGTATGTATATATATACGAGAAGTCAAATCAGCGAGAGACAACCAGTCAAACACGAAATATGAGAAGACATTTGTTAAAGACGAATTGTCGTATTCCATTTCTTTTTCTTATTTTCTTCATTTATCATCTTCATCCTGCATTTGTGATGTAAAAACATAGATACAATATAAAAGAAAAGGATGGATGGAATTTCTTCTTCTATTTTATCTATAAGCATGACAGTAATCCAGCTAGAATAATACGAGACAACTATCAATAGTGTTTTTCAAATTTGCTCTACATTTTGGATATAGTTAAGTCAGTTTGAAAAGTGGTATTAAATAGGTGTACGCATAAGACTTTCTTCTATCTAGTAATAAGGTTAATTATGGGCAGTGGAGCAAATATGGCTGAAATGAAATAATAATTTATTTACGATAAAAACATTATCTACTACTCAATAGTAAAAACAGTTTTCTTTGGATATTTTTTTGGATGTTGATCACAAATTTGATATCCGTTTGTGTTCAAGACCGATCTGTAGGATCTACATCTCTAAAGACATGTCAAGATCTTTAGAAGTCAAATATTCTGATCTATCTAGATGATAACGCATATCATGTTACACATACAGAAAAAGTTTTCAGAACCAACAAAGAAATTTTTAATTACATACGAAATTTTGATCTTTCCTTTTTCACTATAATCAATGAATCAAACAAGTTTTTGATATAAGCTTTATTCTGTCAGAATACAAGCGGAAAAATATTCTGTTATAGTATTTTAAACTAAAACTATCGAAAAACACAAAATCAGTTTTGTACGAATAGAGATTCGAACACATGAACTTAGCTTTGTAGAAACTACAAAACT